ATGGCACCTAAGCCTGTCGGTTCAAAGAGGCATGAAATAAACACCGGGCCATTGCCAATAACAGAGACAGCATAAGTGAGATTTCTAGCCTCTGCAGTGGACCTTAGGAAATTGGTATTGAAAACCTTGTTTATTCATTCGTCTGTACTCCGTATTATTCATGAAACCTAAAGGAAAATTCAATACACAATCAATAGTTTTGTCCTGACATTCTGCCCAAGTTTAATAGTGACTTACTGTGTGAAGTCTATTTGAAAGTGACTGTGGTAATTAAAAATGTTCCTATTACGCTTTTTTATTTTTAAAATGAAATTGCAGTATTTTTTAATAAACTCTGGGCCTCATATTCACTGCTGCACCTGTTTAGTTGTTTTCGATTTATTCTAAACACTGGGCGCATGCATCAACTTTACCTTGAGTGTTAATTTCTTCTAAACAAATTAATTTCAAATAGTTTTTCTATTCCAGATTTTTTCGTTCAATTATATTTTGCACGCTCCCAGCAACCGCCTCTCAAGGCCCTCAAAGACCTGCTGTCAAACACTTCATTCCATAAACATGCTCCTCCAAGGTGATTAATTTGTTTGTGACAGAAACTAAATGGAATTTCAGCAATGTCTGTCATTTTGAATGACCTTAGTTACTTGTTGCTCAAAATGGAATACTTCTGACATCGCTGTTGTAATTATGCAAAGGCCAGAATATGTCTTTACAACATGTGAATGTTGAGTTTTGAAATCACATGGTAATTATAGTTTTACACACTGTGGCCTTAACTACTGTGGGCCATTATGGGGTGCACAAAAGTCATTCACAGAATCATTATTGCACCCTCTGAGATAACGGCACAAAAGAACTCCACATGGAAAATTACATTTGAGACCTCTCATCTGCTATTTCATTACCTTGCTCTGTCTGATGGGTGAAATGGGTTCTCTTAATTTAAGGAGCTGGATTCCAGCTTGGTGAGTGGTTTATGTAATCTCACGGTAAGAGTGATTTCCTATAATGCCATGTAACAGCTACTCTGCTTAGCTACCATATTCACTAATTGCATTGCAGGCCATCTTCATCCTGCATCTCACAAATAAGACCATTTCTATGGTGCCAACCTGCAAAGACAGAAGTATGCACTTATCTTTGAGCCACAAGTGTTTCTACGGGTGACATTCATACCTTCTTTTGACAGACATAATTAGTCCGTAGATTCTACAGTGCTAAGAGACCGTCTTCATTGAAAACGCTGCCAGGCCGTCCACATGTTGCACGAGGCAGAAATATCCAAGAGATGTCACAGGCTGCAAAAAAAATCTATTGAGGAAGGGGATGAATTCAATCTTGTGTTATTTACGCAGTCGGAAAATTACAATAGACATATATTCATATTTCAATAATTGAGTAGTTTTTTTTGTCTACCTGTACTTTTTAAGGAGTTTTTAAAATAAGTAATTTTACTTTACTTATGTATATTAAGGGGGAAATATTGTACTTCGATACATTTTGAATAGCATCCCTTACTGAGTAAAAAAGTCAAATGTAAAAAGGCAAAAAAGGAAATCCAAGCATTGTGTCAATTACATACTGTATGAGCCTTCCCACACACAAGGACAATACCAGTATAATCTTTCTTTTTAAACACTGGAATCAAAGCGAGAGTAGTGATGCCACAAAACGTTCAAAATATACCGGTATGTATTATTGCATTACACTTTTTATGAATGGGTTCCTTTAATTAAACAACCTTTTGGTGAGTCATATTGTCTTTTCATATGTGCACTACACCTCCTCAGGTATAAAACTCAGTACTTTAAGTCAAATAAAAAAGAATTATTTTTGACTTTTACTTCTTTAGATTTGTAGACCAGTCATTTTACGTCTACTTAAATCATACTTAATTTGGGTAACTGTACTTTAACTTAAATACAATCGTCTTATATTCTATCTATCCCCTGGTTATTCCAGTGGTTAATTGAGGACAAGTCAACAAATCCCATCTTCAAAATAGGTTTAAGATATCCATTCAAAGACCATTATCATGGATGATATTCTGTTTAGTAATTTGGGTATGTAAGAGTCAAAGATTAGCAGTCACTGTTTACTGTGCACACATGAGTAACCCAACCCCTCACCCTTTTCCTCCGTCTGTCCCAACATTCATTTCCTCCTTTTTTTCCATCACATCCCACATCATAGTGGTAATAATTGGACATGTCATAAACCTTAAGGTAGTTTTTTTTATAGTGCAGCATTTAGGAACACGGATTAGAGGAATGAAAATCAGGGGAATAATAATCACACATACTGTATATTCCAAACAATAAAAGATTTGGACCATTACCGGTACAATATCAATTCTGACATACAATATGTAGCAGGTCAATTCATGACGCACAAGAACTAAAAGTATTTGGACGTCATCAATCAGAACACTGATACATATAATCTATTAAAGAGACAAAGTTAACAATGTATGGTTATTGTATTTGTATTGTTATAACAAAGAAATGTATAAATCTCTCAATAGATTATTTATGAATGCTGGATTGATGCTAGTCTGCAGCCATGATTTATTCACGTTCATATGACTCGTCTGCACATTCTCCACACATCTGTTCTTTGCATCATTTTATTTCTGCACATTGCATCTCAATTTGTTGAAAACGTATCACAAAGTATCCAGTAAAGGTCAAGGATGAAAACACAGTAAAAAATATTCTTATTTATTTTGTTGTTCTTGACTTTACATTTTTTCAACTACTTCTTGAGTATTTTCAGTAATTTTTCCTGTGTTTTTCAAACAAGCCTCAAAATTTTTTACAAGTGATTTAAGAAATCCATAGGTACGAATATGAAGACTTTAAGTAAAAAAAAAACATAGCTGTTTGAGAAATTTCCAGGAGTTTTGTGCAAGTGTAAAAGCTCCAAAATTATCAATCAATTAATCAATCAGTCTTTATTTGTATAGCGCCAATTCATAACAAATGTTATCTCAAGACACTTTGTAAAAAGCAGGTAGAAGACCTTATGCATTGCTTTATTACAAAGTCCCAACATTAATCCATCATGAGCACTAAGAAACATTTAGCAAAATTAAAGTGGCAGGGAAACCCTTCCTTTAAGAGGCAGAAATCTTGAGCAAAACCAAGACTTTTTCTATTTTATGAAAGAAAAGCCCCAGGAGAAACATCGTTTATGCTTGTGCTTTTAAAAGTCTTCTTGAGTAGATTATATTTTTAAAGCTTTATTGAATCATACTTTCCCCAACGCTGTTAGAAAAAAAAAATATAGTTTTTAAGCTTTTAAAAATAGAACTTAAACTCAGCATTTGACTTGAAAAGAATGGAAACAAATAACTTCTTCATCCTCCATCTTGGTATGAAAATGAAAGCTGGAAGTGATCCCAGTTCAGCACAGTTCATCATTTGGTTGGGATGAGAGGAGCACATCTAGAAAGAGTCCCGAGTTGAAATGGAAATTCCCTCCCCTCCCTCATCAGTTTGTGAGTTCATTCTGCAGTGTCAGCAGTCAGCACACAAAAACGGGATTCAGTAAAAGCTCTCTCTGCTCTCTGGGAGTTTTTTCCCCCCCTCCAACAGCTTGCTCCCATCCCCCCCCTTCCCCCCTCACAAACTGACATGCAGGAAGAAACATATGCTGCTATTCCCACTTCCTGACAGCCTGTGCTGCTTGAATGGGATCTTGCTCATGGAGGAAGCAGTTGTCTGGAAAGAGTGCAGAGCTTCAGAAAAAAAAATAAGTGGATGGTTACAAGCGGAAGACAGAAACTTCTCAATCTGTTAAACATACACAGCAGGCATTTTAATAAATGCTGGAGCTACTTAGATATACGTAAGCAAAACATCGTCCTTTGTCATTATGTTAACAGGACGCGTGCAGACAGAGTATACAGTAGCCATGTATTCAGACATATTTGACTGAGATTGCAGAAAGTTACATGTCATGTATTGCAAAATACCGTGACAACTAATACTTTGGGTCGCATGGTACAAGTTACTCAGGAGCAATTCTAATTTCTTGTAGATGTGTGAAACAATATAAAACGCATCTTAAATAATCTAGTATAGATCCACTTGTTGCTTTGTCTCTTCTCAATGAACTGCTCGGAGAACTGGCCTTCAGAAGATGTTCCTTTGCTGTATTCTTCTTTGTTGTTTTGCCTTAGAGAAGGCTTTTTAAAACATCCACCCCCCTGCATAAATTGTTTTTTTTTTTTACCCATAATTAAGACTTTTTTGTCTTACATGCTTTGATGTATCTGTTGTGTCCATTTCCCATGAATGGTAGAAATCAAAACATTAAAGGAGTAATATGTAACTCTGACCCGTAGCATTTAAGTCTTGCTTGCTGAGTTACACCAGTAACACCTGGAAGCTGCCCACTTAAACCATAGTCTGACCTATTGGTCATTAAAAAATGAAATCAAAATATTTTGTGCAAGGGCACCTTAGTTGTGTAGATAGCTATTAAAATAAAGCTTAAAGCAACATTACAGGTGATGAGTAATGGTACTGTAGAATACCAGCTTCAAAATGTCAGAGGAGGCTTCAAACCAATATAACCTGAACGTCCACCATGGGTTTGCTTCATAACTTTTTAAACCTGTGCAGTGTTTTGTGGACTCACCTCATTTTTTCAGGCATGGACTTCATACCCCATCTGAGTCCAAAATACCCAGCTTTTCTCAAACAAGTAAAAAATGAAACCATTTATCCTGTGTTCTGTCATTTAATAAGAAGGATGTGCTACAAGTCCATGAGAGAAACTGTGCAATTGTTAAACCCCATAACATCCACTGTAAATCAAGTCAACAACATTCTTGGCAATGTCCAAGCTTGTTTGGCGGCTTCTACTCCATATTGTGCTCTCAACTAACCATGTGTACTGTGTTGTTTTGGAAGCAGATGTCCACTGTTCTGCTGTGTAGAGTAACTGTTTGGTTGTGTTTGTTTATTTGGGAATTCCAGGTCTCTCCCTAGTCTGCTCCAGGCTTCAGCTTGGAGAGCCCAACCGCCACGATTGATCCCAGCAGCTGGAGCGGCAGCGAGAGCCCTGCCGAGGACATGGAGAGGATGAGCGACTCGGCAGACAAGCCTGTAGACAATGATGCAGAAGGGGTGTGGAGCCCTGATATTGAGCAGAGCTTCCAGGAGGCCTTGGCCATCTATCCTCCTTGTGGACGCAGAAAGATCATCCTGTCTGATGAGGGAAAGATGTATGGTGAGTGTAGATGTGTGTCTGTCTAAGCAATATCTGTCTTTCATTAAATATGAAGCTTCAGCCAGGAAGCTGGGTAGCATAGCTTAGCAAAAAACAGAAGGAAACGGCTAGCCTGGCTCTGTCCTAATGGTACAAAGTCGGCCTACCAGCAGATCCAAAGCTTATGAATGAACATTTTTAATCAACGCTGTTTAATAAGCTCGTTGTGTGACTTATTTTTTGCCACTAAAAGTAGCTCTACCTCGCCAAGAAATAAACTGAACATAACTCTACCTGTTATTTTTTTAAATTAGAAGTTTATACAGTATGTCGTCACTGCTGGCTGGACTATGGATCAGTCATTAAAAACAGTGAATACACATGAAAAAAAACTACCAGAACATGGCTCTGCCGGGTAATACAATATTAAATGAAGTGCTCTCTGAGTCTAACTGTACAGCGTCTACTCTGGTTCAAAGTAGTGCAAGTTTGTAAGTAAAGCAGCATGAAGTATAAGTCAGTAGCAGATGGTACTGCGGCTTCCACCAGCTGTGCCCCCTCTCCTCCCTCCATTTCCCCCCAGTTCCTGGCTGGATGATATCATGGAAAGAGGGAAATTTTTTTCTCTCTGTGGTGTTGGACTGTCTCACAGCCTGTCAGTGTCAAGTGAAAGCAGAAAGCCCCTCAGAGCATTCGCCTGCAGCTGTCATGTGACCCCGCCGGCCAAACGAAATGTAAATTCTAGGAGTTGCAGTGAATCCCCTCAGCTGCCACTACAAAGATGTGGGCTCAGACAACAGGACCCTCCCCACTGTCTCTCCCTCCAACTCCCCCCCTCCAAATACAGAGCGAGGCTGCCAGAGGCTGTCCCTCTACTGTGGACTAAAGCATGACAATTCAGTTTTACTAGAGTTATAAATGGGCAGAGCTAAGTGCAGGCTGCAGTGTTACAGACATTAGTAATATGATGCAAATGCTCAGCTTACTGGTTCACTATTGCATTAAGAAATGAAAAATATTCTTTTGAATTTAGTCTTTTTGACAAATTCCAGAGCAAGCAGGAATTCAGTGAGACTTAATCTATTTGATTTATAGCATCAAAAATCACAATGCCAAAAACTCTCTAAATATAGGTTGTAGGTGCTTCTCTGCAAATCTTCGACTCAAGCAACATGGCTACATATATTGTGATTAACATGTTTAGCATTAATAGAGGGAAGAAAACCAAAACGACGTCTACCGCATTGCTGTAAGAAATAGGATTTAATACTCAAGTCTGTCAAGACTTGAGTATTAATCAAATTGATTAAGTCTCACTGAATTCCTGCTTGCTCTTTTCCTGAACTCTAAAATATAAAAACCGAAAAGTAAAGCAGAGAGAATGGTTTACTTTTTTTGGTCTTGTATAAACCTAAAATATCTGCTGAAGAGACAAATGTGGTGTTGAATAAGACTTCATCCTGCCAGATGTGCTCTGTATCTTGTTACATATTGTCTCAATAGCAGACAAATCGCTCTTTTTTAACATATCAGAGTAAGCTAGGTCTGTTTAGCAGAAGACATGATTGTTTTATCATGACAGGACGTTCGTCCTTGCAACCTCACCGTAAATGGATGCTATGGCTTATTACAATGTTTTATGTAAACTCTTGTGTATTATATGGCACTCAGTTTGGTACTTAATGTATGCATAGGAACCAGGACAATCTAGAAGTACAGTGTAGATATAATAACCCATGCTTTGTTTGAACGCCTGAGTATTATCAATGGACTCTGTGTTGTGAATATTTTGAAGAATGCTTTGAATAGAGTAATTTGATGTTGAGTGTGTTGCCTAAGGACACTGAGACATGTGACTGATCTTCCGACTAAAACACAACCGACTCTACTCCTGAGCCCCAGCCACAACAATGCAAAATATTTAGGTCAGTCTGATGAAACGATAATGATAATTATTGTGATATAACTAATCATTGTGATAGAATTTTTCTCAACATAACAAATGTTTGATAGATTTAAACCTTTAGTTTACACCAGAAGACGTGAGGCTAAAACGTGCAACACCACAAAACCTTTCCACCATTTGAAACAATATCGATGTTAGAACACACTGAAGGGAAAAAATTACCAAACGCTACAAGAGAGTGTTAGTGGACCCTCAGCCTCGGAATCATTATCGATGTTGACTGATATGACATTTCTATCGTCATAACATTTTTTTGTCATGTCTCCCAGCCCTACTAATATTTTTTTATGTTATTATTATTTTGTTTGCACTTCAATGCTCATACCTGTAGATTGAAGTATTTTGCCTCATCTGAGCCACCATGTCCAAAAGGTGGAAAAATACAAACCACATCTTGTACAGTCGTGTGCATAACTGTTAAATATAATTTTACATGAGTTATATTTCTAATAGGTAGCTTTTTAAGAGAATGACACGATGAATGCCATCAGAAATGATCATTAAAAAAATAAAGTGGTCCTCAATGCTGCTACAAGAGAATAATTTGTCCAGGGGGGAAAAAACAGGGATTTTTCTTTTAGGAGGGGAAGGGTTCATCTTAGCATGCGGAAGCTGATACTGCACTGTAATCCAGGTTCCATAGGGTTTATAACATGCAGATGCACACACACACACATACACACCACACAAAACCTCCTGTGGCATCTGAGATGAAAGTTGGCTACAAGGAGGACAGGTATTTTGTAGTTGAGAGACCCTGGGGATGGCATAGTGTTCCATCCACAGAGCTCAACACAAGAGGAGCCGCCCTGAGTGCCCTTAAGCCCTTTGTTATCCTGGGGTAGAGTGCAGTTAATTAGCAACAGTCTCTATAGCAACTGTGCTGCAGCACAAAACAATTTCTAATTTCTGCTTCTTAGCTTATTGTGGTGTTTACCTGAAGTGTTTCGGATGTGCTGAGACCAGCGTTGGCTGGCATTGTGCCCCTCCTCTCAGGCGAAGGAAGACACCACATCTGCATAGGCTGCATCACTGGCCACTTTCCACGGCCCCGGAGTTTACTTAGAAGAATATTTTAAAAACTAAAGTGAGATGGAGGCCACTGGCCCCCAACTAAAGGCCTAAGCCTCTGGACTTGCATAATTCACCTGCTGTGCAAGGCTGCATTCATTTAACCCAGAAATAGAGTTGATAAATGAAACAACACGCTTCACCCAAATTGTATGTTTATTCATTGAGTTATGTATTTGCACTTGCCCTGCAAGCTAAGTGACTTGGGTGAATTTTTCTCAGTTGCTGCTGAAAAAAGAGAAAATTTAAAATGTATTACATTTACTCACAAATAAATATGTAAATACATGCTTTACTTGTAGGCTATACCACAACCATTATATTGTCTTGTTACTGTGGCAGAAAGGGCAAGGCGCCAGGTGTGTAATTTAACATTTTCTTTAAATATTTTTTGTGGTAACACAGTCACCTTTCAAGATAATTCTACAGTACTTTTTCTGCCTTTGTTAGTGTGTATATTTTATATTTGGTTACTCCAAACAGTATTAACTAAAATAAGCTTTGATTGCTGGCTTTTATCCCAAAAGCAAGTGTGACTTAACTGCCATCATAAACAGGTGAACTATCCCCATATGTTGTGAAATTCACCTGCTGGTAAAACCATACCTCTGTCTACATTTGTCTTTTGATATAAAGCTTTTCCTATTACCACACTGCTGTTTGCTCTGCCACCTCGTCAGTGATCTAGCTCAGACCCCTCCTGCGGGAACTAAGTGGCACTTGGTTTGCAGAGATGCCAAGGATGAGTTAGATATAATGAGCAGACCTGGCTTGCCCCCAATGGCCCAGCGCTGTGCTCCTCTGGGGCTCGTCTCACCGGGCCGAGCATGCTCCGAGACAGAGCGAGCGGACCTGATCCTCCCTGCTGGGTGGATAATGAGGAATTCTGGGATCAGCTCAGGCTCCCTGAGTCACCTACATTCACTCAGAATGGAGTGTGAGGAACTTCAATGCAGGAGAGGCATCACACACCTCCAGAATAATCCCTCATTTGTTCCCCTGCCATTGTCAGTGTAAGACTACCGTGTTTTCACACACATGGTAGTGAAAAAAGTCCAATTATTTTATGTCTTCTTCAAAAGGAGTAAGTGTCGAGGGTGTAAATTGTATTGATGCAGGTATGATGAGGGAAAGAGGAAGTCATTTTGAATTAAGAGTGAAGAGTTTAGGGTTGTGACAAACTGGTTATATAGTCATTGTAGGTAGCTATGGAGATATCTCGCAATTTATCCAGAGCCAGGGGTCAAACATGTGAACGGATCAGCGAGTGCAAATTAGGGGCAGACCGATACGGGATGTTTGGGGCTAATATGGGATGTTTTGGGCCGATACCTTTATTGATATTGGAAAAAAAAAATATTGGCACATATCTGCGATAAGATTGGCTGAGACTAATAACCACTGGATAAGCTAATATCAACTGATATAATCGGCTGGCTGATTAATCGGTCAGGCTGTTGTGCAAATTGTTCTGTCCTTTTGTTAAGTCTCATTTTGTTTCGTTTTAATCTGTGTTGGTAGTGAGCTATGTGACCTGATCACAGTAAATTTATTTTTGCTTATTGGGACAACACCATTATATCGCGTGATTACAGTATCATAAGTGATTGCGAATATGAACGCATTAACCCCTATGACCCCCTTCTCCCCCTCAAAGAAGCCTGCAATGTGATACTCACTCATTTCTTTTGTAAGTAGGTGTGTGTGGCAGCTGTTGGCGTGGGCTCAATCTGAGCCGTCGTCTGTAACAAATAGCTATTTAACTCTACATTTATTTACCTGCCACTGTGGCTAGGAGGCTAAACAATTGGTGTTGCCTCATGTGTCCACTTGAGCCAAATGCCATCTGATGATGACATTATTGCAAAATTTCATGTCGAGCTTGAACGCAATACCGGTGCTGGTTTACCGCCCACTCCTATGTAAGTCTTCCAATTATAAGAGATGGGTATGGAGTAGCCTCGCATTAATGGTGTATCAGTTT